AAGGTAGAATTGTTATTTTATACACGCGTTGGAAGTTCTTCTCACCTGTCAAGTGAATCGAGATGTACACAAAGCTTTCAATGACTTCCAAACTGTCACGATCCCGAAAGGTGCACATAAAGGCTCCTGAGGATCTCACAGCAGGACTTTATACGGTGCAAAGTACATACTGCACCGAAAAACCTATTTTACCAAGGGGTTTAGCGAGTCATGTGTGCCTTGTCTGTTGTCATCAGGCAAAAGAATGTCACTTGCATCCTCCAAGTCTACAACCCTGTCCCAGAAATAAAGTACGACACCGAAGTATCTTCTACGGCGAAGCTGAAGAACTACGGCGCTAAACCACTGGTAACTGGAAATTCGGGTGAAAGTTCCCCATAAGTCTTAGTCTTGACTGAGGTCTGGCGGTACAGTAATTTTAAAATCAGCACACCTAGCGAGGACTTCGTATCTCAGCGAACAGTTTCACAGGAAAGAAAGATCGATGAAGTCAAAGACTACTCGGATTTCCAGAAATGCGACAGGGGTTGGTTCCCAATATGTGTAGCGATAATCCAAGGGACCATATTTGATCAGTGGAACCACGAACGGCTAGGAACCCAGCATGATATTTAAGGAATGTTCCCACGCGTTTCGGATGCGATCTGAGCAATAAAACGGACGTTATTCTATTCAGAAATAATCCCTATGATAGAAAAAAAACTAACATCCCCTATCGAAATCTATTCCTCATACGATTAGGACACACTCTATCCGTACCTAGAAAACAAAGTGATTAGCTCTCTCACGGGAAATTATCCGCTGTTTTAAAATAAAATGACCAGTGGTAGATTGTCTAATTCAGACACTTTCTTATGGTGTTTCCGTGCTTGAAGCTTCTTTCTGATCTGCGCCTTTTTTTGAGTCATTTTTTTTGGATCGTAGTCAGGGCGCACATACAGGAAAGACGACGTTGGGTAGCCAACAGGACGCTCAATGAACTGCTCTGACCCGGGAGTTCCAAGACTATATTGACGTGACGTATACTCCGTGAATTATCTGAATGATCTCGCGCACTATTGTCATTTCGGGCTCGTAAAATAAATGAGTTGGAACAGTCATCGTATGTTCACATATGTAAGCAGCTTTGCTGTCATCCGGTTCAATATCATACCTAACCTATGGGGGACCTATTTGGTTCATCACTCCAAGCAAGTCCCGGGGATTAGGTTACCTGTTTACATCACTGAACAACAGGTTTTCCTGACTATGGGCATTATCCCCACTGGGACTTATCTCACAAAAGTGTGTAATACAAAAATTTAACCGCTGTACCGTCCACGAGCTTGCACTTTCAAGCACTCGCTGTGAGTCGGAATTATCCGATACGTGTCAAGAGAGAGAGGGAAGGAAATGTGTAAACTGGTCGAGTGCATTTTGTAATAGATGGTGATCAGGCAGTGTTCAACATTGTTTAATAAGGCAGCTGCTAACTTTGCGTTTGTGTTCAGTCTATAGACGCATGATTGACACGAGTACCTCTTGCCCAAACCCCAACAAGAACAAGGTGGAGAGACACAACACGACTGGACAAAGGAGAAAGAATGTATTCGATGATTCAGGTTCCGTACGCAAATATACAGAGTAAATCAGGCATACGCGAACGGTACACCAATCAGGTTGCAGCCCTGACACTCCGATTGGTCGATCGTACAACCACTGGCTGATTGGTTCTGCAGTCAACCAATCCGGACTCGGCTTGATTCGTGCGTCGCGATCGGAATTCGAGCGTTACGTGAATGCTTAAGCGGCCAGACACATTGTTTGAGCCTCGTCATAACAGCGTCAATCTCGTTTTGATAGTCGACTGGCAAGGCTGGGTCGAAAATTTTAACAATGTCATACTGTTTGCGTTTGAATAACAGCTTTCCATGCTCGGAGACTGGTGACCGGGGGGCGATCCAATTGCAATTCTATGACTACAATCCATAGGCGGGGTGTACTCTTAGGCATTCATGGTACTGAAGTTTTCTTCGCGTAGCTGATAGTTAAAACAATCAAGTCCACCAATACAAGATGAGGAGTAATCTGTTTGTTTTTTCTGTACATATTGTGAGTCACTGTATTTATTCATTTGAGCATCTACTTACAGGTTTACAACTTTAAAGAATATAATCTAAATGTTTTCACTTTATAGACAATAGCCTTTGGATGATTAAATTCACCGGGCTTAAAATTCTAAATTAAATCCAATCCTGTCAGGACTCGAACCGCGAACATTCGGNGGTCGGGACTTCAAACCCTTACACTTCCCTGAGTTATGCGATCGACGGTTATCACCTTGTGCGAATGGCTCAATCAATTTAGATGGGCAATATTTGAATTAGTCCATTCGGCAGTGGAAATGTTTGTTTGTCGGTTATCACAAACATGTCCAGCGCATTTAAATGCATTCAAATAGTGCGGAATTAACGACCTCCTCAGGAGTGAAACCTACACCGAACATCATCAACAGTGCCCGGTGCATGTGAAAAACCGAATGGGCTAATCCAAACATCGACCATCTAAATCCCCTCCTGTTAGCACAAGGGTATCTGGAATAACTGCTGTGTGATTGATTTTGTACTAATCATGCTTAGTGTAGCAGTCCACGAGTTGCTCAGTCTAAGAGATTGTCCAACGGCAACAATCAGGGCGAAAAGTAAAAAAATCCACTGAGTAGGGCAGATTAACAATTCGGATCGATGTGCTATGTATAACACCAGGGCCTGGTAAAAAAATGGCTCAGGTTCCAGTTTGAACAGCCATTAGGCATGCCCTGTTGTGAACCCGTTTAGGTGGTGGCTGTCTATCACAACAACAACAACAAAAACAAGTCGAAGAACACGAGTGAATCTTGCAACTTGTCGGAGAGTCTGCATTTCGACAGACACAAACGAGATGATCAGAAAGGTTCCAGGCCGAAAAAACAAGACGACGACGTGGACAATGACTTACGCGAGAATGAGTAGAATACGCCAAACAAACACGGGGACAGGGAGTTCCGGCGAAGTCAATTGCGCATTCGATCCATCTTGTGGTTTGGTAGACATAACTGATTCTGTTACCGATTTGGATTCGGCCTCAAATGAGTGAAATTTTATTCGCGCATTTCCAAGACAACGAAAATAAAAGAAACAGAAAGAAATTCAACCAAGTAATAATAGAATTGAGGCTGTTTATAGTAGAAATGGCGACTGAAATAAATTCATCATTCATTATGTTAATGCAATCAAGTGAAAGGAACTCCAAACTTATGACATCACATCACGGTCGGATTACAGAGTTATTGTGGTGTGGAACTCAACACTCTCCTCTCCTCCCCCCCCCCCAGATCCCGGAGCAGTTGGGGGAATGTACACTATATGGTTTCACTGTTTCTCAAAATCGATGGAATATACTAGGTAGCAAAAAACTGGTGAAGATGGATAGTAACATGATCTTTTTCGTCACAATAATTTTGTTTGCAACACCAGGTGACTATCGGACAGACAGCTCTTTCAGAGCCAGTCCAATGAAGAATCAATGCTATGGTTCAATGTTTTGTAAGTGGGTTAGATGCTACTAACCGCACCTTACCCACTTACAAATCATCGAATCATAGTTTGATTTATCATTGGACTGGTTCTGAAAGAGCTGTCTATCCAATGGTTACCCGATGTTGCAAACAAGGTTATTGTGACGAAAATACACTTCCTGGATACAAGTATATGAATGAACTGACAAAAGATTACCGGATACGGATACCTAACGAGCGGCAAGAACCGCGAAACCGGTTGTGTGATTCCAGGGAAATGTTGTCCAGTCAGTCACATACTACTTATTATGAAGTAACATGATCTATTGAGTAGATTATACCGAGTGTATCGAAATACACTAGTATCGGTTATGGCGTATAAGTGAAGAACTCTGTTTATAATTCGATTCTGCGATAAATTCGCGTCTTATGCCAAGGCACTATTACTTTTTAAGCGCCGGATAACGGTAGACAGCTTCAATGTCATCTGATTCGAATAGGAAGGAACTTGGTCGGATTCCTTGGAAATTTGAATTCCTAAAGGCTCAGATTGTTGGAACATACAACAGCACAGTAGGTGCCTGAAACTATGGCGTTCAGTTTTTGCCTATTGTACATCATCAAGTGGATGAAACATATGCAGCTAAGGAACGAAAATTTCAAAAAACTACAACATGCATGCGTAGATGAGCCTGATCGCTTTGAATGAATTAGGGAACAGATTTACATATCTATTTATCTTAATAAGTAGTATACGAATGACTCGCCAAAATTTCCCAGAAAGCGTACGACCGGTTCTGCGGCTCTTGCCGCTCGTCCGATATGGCTATCCGGTAATCTTTTGTCATTTTATTGATATATAGATATATATATGTATGCAAGTGAACATTTAGGTAAATAGACAAACATATCACAGCGGAATGAAAAGAGTAAAAGATAAATTGATCGGATGGAAATCAAGCTATATTATGGTTCACAAAATATACGTAGTATATATTTACTGGAAGCTCACAACAAAGGATCAAGGCAAAGTGATGAAGATAATGAAACGACATGGAATACACAGACCTCATCTGTGATCCCATGAGTTTGTGTGTGTGAGACGAGACAGATATGTGTGAGGGAGAGACATGGTTGACGAAAGAAAACCACAGGTGGTGTGAAGGATGCAAAAATAGGAGAGATGGATGAAAGCAACGGATGAGAACTGCTCATTTGGACCTGATAACCGTAGACGTGTTTGTAGGTGTGCGTATGTATTATCGGGAAATATGGAGCAGACATATTCACATCTGTCCGCATTCGATGAAATGCTTCGAAGAGTCGTGAGGAGATGACAAAGTGGTAATCTGGAGCGAAGCAATAAATGCTGAGAACGAGAAGACCAGATCACACACAAAAAACCGCATGTGCAAGAAAACAGATTCATAATACATTCATTCACAGTACAGGTCACCACGGATCATCATCCATCAGTTAATGAGATAGACGAACGACTGGAAGTTGATCGTGATAAGCGTGCGGATAATGAGGAGTGACTACTGAGGGAGTGAGCCGAGGATCCGGGAGAAATAGTTGACGGTAACGAGCATGCGGAATCGATCGATGGGGATCCGGGTCGTGAGTGTAAACTACTGCACAAAGGCGGTTGTGCGAAAGAGATATCGGAGGGCTCTCCGGTAAATTCCGGACCGCCTTCGAGAATAAATTGAGCTGGTGCATCTGGCACGTTGGTCATTAAATCCCGAATCGCGAGACGATCAGTATGACTGGGCAGACGTATAAACGCATCGATTAGTTGTGCTCCGAAAGATTTCAAATGAAATGGATTCATCTGGTGACCGTCCACAAATGGAGCCGTTTTGTCTGAACTGTTCGAGTCCGCTGGTTGTCCGGCGAACCGAGTAACTCCGCAATAAGACGCCTCGATCGTGTAAGATCGGACAACACCGAACTCCCGCCAAACAGCCACACGGGCGGTGGTCTCTTTGGATTTGTTCACCACATATCTGGGGAGAATGGGGAAAAAACAGTACCGGAATATATTTCCAGTTTGTGTCCAATAAATGAGTTACATGAGACAGTACCGAGTATCATTAATGTGGCGTGTAACAATGCAGCAGAGTTATTAACAAGATATTAACAAGCTCAAGACGACTGGCAGAAAAATATCAACACGTATTCGCAAGCCTCGAGTGGCTTTCACTTGTGGCGTCGACACCATCTAAAGCTTTTCTTGAAAGGCCGCGTTTACAATACCACTATAATCAACTGTCTTACTCTACGGCTGCAAGAGCTGACCTTTCCAGGCAAAAATTATGCGAAGATTAGGCGTCTCTGACCACTGTTGCGATCGTTGCACAGCCAGAATACGT